ACGCTGTTTGAGAAGCTGGGCGACGGCTCATTTGGCGTCGTGAAGAGGGGAGAGTGGTTGACACCTGCGGGGAAGGTGGTGAGGAGGCATATTGTTATACAATTTATCCACAATTTAAAAAACAAAACAAATACATGTTGGAAATATGAAATAACTGGAGTGTGCTCACACAGTTCTTTTGCATGAAACATGTTGCTTGTTTGCATGTTGTCTAGGAACAGATAAAAGCAGGTGCATGAATGGGTTTTTTTTCTTTTGTTTTTTAATGGGATTTTTATGAGAACTTTTTAGACACTTTGAGTATGAAGAGAAGCAGAATCTGATGTTTGAACTCATCATTTTTTTAGCTGAACGTGGCTGTGAAGTGTCTGAAGACAGATGTGCTCAGCCAGCCCGACGCTCTGGAGGATTTCATCTGTGAGGTCAACGTCATGCACTCGCTGGACCATCAAAACCTGATCCGCCTCTACGGTGTGGTGCTCACACACCCAATGAAGATGGTAGTGGACACACAGAAATGCACACGCACAGGGAGAAATATACAGACAGATAAATGCGAGCGCACATAACCGTTTACAGTAGCTGCTTTACCTCGGGGCCGATATTCTCTGTGTATACTTGCCACATATGCAAATGCGAAAGGACAAAAGAAGCTTTGAGTTTGTCCGTTCTTTTCACCCATGCTCTATTTCTCTTTTTCACCTGCATGCTGTAGGTGACTGAACTGGCACCTCTCGGTTCTCTGCTGGAGCGTTTGCGCTGCGTTCGTCCTCAAGGCCCAGTGTTGATCCACACTCTGTGTCAGTATGCTGTGCAGGTGGCTTGTGGCATGGCTTATCTGGAGCAGAGGAGGTTCATCCACAGGGACCTGGCAGCGAGGTAGGGTGCAGAGCTTTGGTAGAGGCAAAAAAAGGGTAAAAAACTACTGAAAAAAATACATTGCTCACATTCAGGAATAATTTTTCTGCTGTGGTGAATTATTTATATTGCCTCTCCTATTCCTCCACCCAGAAATTTACAGGCTATTAACAGGAGACTTGGCCCATAAGCACAATGAGTCACTGGCTGGAAGCACTGGGTGGTCCAAGTTCTTGGTCTTGCCAAAATTAGACACTTTCACTTAAGTGCTGACACTACGTAGAGGTCTGGGGAAAAACCTTAATGGCCGGTACAAATGAGTCACTTTACCAGTTAAAGCTGTAATAAAAGGGTAATGACTACACACAGCTGCTGCGTTAAGGTTTGCTGAGCTCTCTGGGCACGCACTGTATCCTGTACGCTGGAAGCTTTCTGAGATAAAGATCTGCTGACTTTCTAACACACCAAAAAGTTCATAACAGATAAATCCCTTTATCTGTTATGGCACACCATTTAAGCTGCTTTAGCCTGTCCACAAGACCTAATCAGTGACTTGTCATATCTGTCACTAACGCCTTGCTGTTTCTCTTCCTGCCTCTGGCTTTCATATCTGCACATGGAAAGACAGGGAGCGGAACAGACCCAAACTACTAGAAATAATAGTTGTCTTTACATATTAGTAGATCTAACGACCGTAAATCCCGGACTACAGAGTGCACCTGATTAAAAGCCGCATGCTCTAATTTTAGAAAGAAAATTAATTTTGTACTTGTACAGGCCGCACCGGATTTTAAGCCGTATGCGTTTCACTTGTAATATCAGATATTTACACAGAAATATTACACGTGAGGATTTTTAACGTTTAATTTAATCCGTAAGGTGACTTAAACACGGTAGCATAAACGTTATGGTAACATACAAAAATACATACTGCAAATGCTTTTTTTCCTCGAACAGCGCCTGTAACACGGCTACCTTTAAGTATACGTGTATCAGTAACACACAAATTGCTTTGCTTATGGGTTTTTTTACGGAACAGTGCACAAACAACATTACAACGTCCCTTAACAACCGGTAAAAATATATACCGTGTATATACTACTTATCAATTTTATTGGTCTACTGTTACCAGGCAAAATGTTTTTGGCCGCATTAAAAAAAAATATGCATTAGCCGCACGTCAGTATAAGCCACAGTGTTCACAGTGGAAAAAAGTAGCGGCTTATGACCCGAAAATTACAGTAAAATATTTATTTACTGAGTTTAATCTTTTTAGTCATGCTCAGTTTCAATAGATCCTACATCTGCAGTCTTGTGCTTGGCCTATCAGTAAAATGCATATGGACAAAGTCTCCTCTACAATTATTACTGAAATAGTTATTATTAAGAACATTAGTTCTACATGTAGAAGAGTTCGTTCATTTAGTGTTTTCCAGCTTGAAGGTTCATTTTAGGATTTCCAGGTAATTGTTAACATCACCACCCTGTCTGCAGGAACATCCTGCTGGCCTCGGCTCACAGAGTGAAGATTGGTGACTTTGGCCTGATGCGAGCGCTGCCTAACAACCACGAGCACTATGTCATGCAGGAGCATCGCAAGGTCCCCTTTGCGTGGTAGGTGGAATGAACTCATTTCATCGCTGCTTTGTTGTTAAAACTATCAGCCAAGGCAGAATTTAGAAATCGTTTTTTCAAAACGAATCCTAACACCAGGGAAACACCCCATTTAAATCCCTACACCACACTTATGCTCAGTCTGTGCACAGCTGGTTTATAGACTGTAGTGTATTGTTTTTCATGTTACAGGTGTGCCCCAGAGAGTTTAAAGACCAGAACCTTCTCCCATGCAACAGACACTTGGATGTTTGGAGTCACCCTCTGGGAGATGTTCACACACGGTCAGGAGCCTTGGCTGGGTCTTAATGGTAGTCAGGTAAACGCACAAAAAGGATCAACAAAAACTAAAATTCTGAAGCCAAAGTACATAAATTTGCTCATATATACAGTGATTTATATACAGTAGCTGTACTCCTTTGTCTTTAGATTCTCCATAAGATTGATAAAGAGGGTGAGCGCCTCCCTAAGCCAGAGGATTGTCCACAGGATATCTATAACGTCATGCTGCAGTGCTGGGCTCAGAAACCTGATGACAGACCAACTTTTGTTGCTCTACGCGAGTTCCTGCTCGAGGTAGCGTTAGCAGTCATTTAACCATTGCTCTAGGATTTAAACATGCATGTTTTCTACATTCATTTAACTTCTCTGCTGACATCATGTTGTTATTATATAAATTTACCATTAGCTCCACCTAGTGGTGCCATTTTAAAGAAAAACGTGAATAGGCTGCTTATTAAATCTGTTATATTTTTCTGTCTTTGTCTCTTTTTTCAGTCTATGCCTACAGACATGTGTGCTCTCCAGGACTTTGATGAGCCTGACAAACTCCAGATCCAGGTCGATGACATTATCACCATCATAGAGGGGAGGTGGGTGATAAAAGGTCTTAAAATAGTAATTAAACTGACACATCAGGCGATTCTAGGTTCAGACAAATTTAATCAACCCTTTTCGCATGTGCAGACCTCAGTTCAATTGGATAAACGTTACAGTGGGATCTTCAAAGGCAACCGAATTAGTTGGGGGATGTGTTGTTATGTGTGACAATAATTCAGTGTCAACAATGAGAGTTTTCAATCTTTTTCACACGTTTTAGGGTGGAGCCTTTAGTTATCAAACTCGATACAAAGGCTCAGTTGTTAAAGAACCATTTGTGGCAAAGCAGAAAAGATGAAAAACATGCAAAAAAAATTTCAGCCTCTTAACAACATAGAGGCAGTCCACCAGCTCATCAAACACTCACTTAGTACAGACACTGGAAAATCACACTGCCAGTCCATAGACCTGCAAACGAAGCAAACTGCTAATAGCTATTTTATATTAATACAAACCCTCATTTATTAAGCAGACTCAGCACACAACATCATATATCAATATGCTCTCTTTAGAATGTCCACTGGCATGTTTTAAGTGCTATTTGTGAAAAATAGCATTTGATATTGCTCCCTCATTCTTGCGGTTCTTCTACAATCTCTGTCTTTTCTCTCCCCAGCCTCCTCACTCAACTAGAAAATGAAAAAAATATAATCTTATAATAATTATTACATCAGGCACAGAAAACAGGAAAACACACTGCTTAGATATGTGAACTCATCATGAATGAATGTGGGTAAAAGAGAAGCTACAGCATTATCATTTCTGGTGAATTCGACTACATGTCCACTCTTACCTGTTTCTTTTTGCGCTCTTTGCTGTCTTCGTCTCTCCCTCTCTATCCTCTCTCAGTCTTTGTGCCGTCACCCAAAAGTTAAATGTTACAGTGAATAAAAGACAAACTGATCTACATGATCCATATCAGTTTGTAGCAATATTCAAAGTGAATACAGGCTGCTGCTGGACATAGACAGGTAATCTCCTTTTGACTTGCTGTCACCTGGATCTGATGCTGTACTGTAAACAAACACTGGAGCCCAATTTGACTGGAATTGGTAAATATTTCTTTTCCTAAGTAAAATAATAAAGTACAGCAGCTCCTTGGTTGGCAGCTCCTGATATACCAGCAGACTACTGTTTTTATTCTATCCTGTACTGTTATAAATAGACAGATAGACATTTGAAGATATTTCCAGAAAATAATACTAAAATACGCTGTTATTAGTACGATTAATATTTTTAGGGGTGCTCTGATTAAATTTGGGAATGAGTGAGCACCCCCAAAATGGGTCTAAACTCTCCTCTGCAACATACCAACCCCACTACTGATAAATATTGTCTTGAATGCAAACACAGTGCAGTGCAGAGAAGTGTGCAAGGCTGCACTTCAGAGTCCTCCCACAGTCCAAAGATGTGTTTGTTTATCAGCAAGTTTACATTGCTCGCGGGTGTGAATGTGAGCGGGAATTCAAGGTTTTACTCCATCTGCCACTCAGTGTCAGCTGGTACCAGCTGCAACCCCCACATTTACCTCCAACAGATGGGCCCGTAGCTAATGCAAGGATGGTATGGGCTGGAAAAAACACATCCTTGACTCTCAATGTCAAAAAGTGGCAGTCTGCTTTCATACCCAATATAATTATCTGTCCTAATACGTTTCAGGGCAGAGAATTATTGGTGGCGAGGTCAAAATAAGCGCACCCTTAAGGTCGGACAGTTCCCCAGGAATGTGGTGACTTCTGTAGCAGGGTTGTCTGCACACGACATCAGTCGTCCACTCAAGAACAGCTTCATCCACACAGGACATGGAGACACCAACCCCCATCGCTGCTGGGGCTTCCCTGACAGGATCGATGAGTAAGGGACAGCTTTTGTTTATTAATTTTCAAGCTGAGTTTGATTATTTAATGAACGTAAAATGGCATTCATATCATGCATCTAGAAATGTTTTAAATGATCTTTCGGTTGGGCTGTAGTGATAGTAAGCACTCACCAATAGATGGCACTAGCGGGCTGCTTAAGCTGCTTTTGCAACGTGATTTACAGCACCTGCTGTGAGTTAGTTATATGCAGTCCACTGATGTTTCCTGCATTAACATGTCTCATTCTTGCTGACAGTTTGTACCTCGGGAATCCCATGGATCCTCCTGACGTTCTGGGCTTGGACCTCAGTGCTGCACAGCCCACACAGCTAGCAGGACGAGCTAAAAGTGAGTGAAAGAGCTTTTTATAGAAATATATACCTGTATGATGTATAACTGTTACCAAAAAGCTTGCCTCAATACCTCTTCAGTTCACTGACAGACTGAGCAGATGATCATATTCCTAATTTTTATAGAGTGCTTCTTTCTTCTTCTTATTTCCATTATGCATTGCTGGTTGAAATTTCAAGATCTGCTGCTGCTGTGCAAAAAGACACTGAAGAGCTCGCTTTGCTTTTATCCTAACAGAGCTTTAAGATGTAATGGCGCTTGCTGTTTTTATTCTTGTCTTAATATCTTTTACTGCTGTCATTTCTTCCCCTCTTTGTTTCTCCTTTGCGCTGGTGGCATCTGTTATTATTTTTCCCCAGAGGAGCCTCCTCCCCGCCCTCCTCAACCAGCAGTGTTAATCAAGAGTAAGTCTGGTTTCTCTCAGCAGCTCTTCACCCATTGCTCCTGCCCCCTCTGTTCCCTCCTAGTTCCACTCCTCAAAGGTACATCTCAGAGTTTTTCATCTTTTCCTTGCCTGTCTTTGCAGTGCCCCCCCCTGTTCTTTTCTACACCTTTGTCCCTCTAAAAGGTGTGCAGTGTCCTTGCTGTGCATTGTATTCTCCAGTCACACCTGGCGAGTTGGTTTTTTTTTTTGGAGCTGTGTGTCTTGCATTTAGTGGTATTAAGTGATCTTAAAGTGATCTTGGTGTCAATGATCTCTAAACTGCATCAAGAATATGTTGTGTTTTCATCTCCAGAACCTTCCTATGACCCAGTAAATGAGGAGGAGGATCTGACCTCTGCGGGACTAAAGAGATTATCACTTCGGAAAACGGGTTCTGTCAAAGGCCTCAAACTTAAACCGGCCGTGTGGGTCTCTGCTTCCAAACAGGGAGGTTGCAGGACTTTAGGCTCATGCCAGAACACTAACAGTGAAGTTTCCCTCATTGACTTTGGGGAAGAGTACCCAATATCCACACCGTCCCCCTCTCCCGTGGTTGAAATTCCGATTCCTCTATTGGCCAAGTTGGCTTTGGAAGCAGAAAATCTCCTGGACAGGACTCCACCTCAAAGCCCATCCAAATCATTGCCCCGCCCCCTTCACCCTACGCCAGTAGTGGACTGGGATGCACGGCCATTACCCCCACCCCCAGCTTATGACGATGTAGCACAAGATGAGGATGATATGGAGGTAGGGCTACAGAATGCATTTAACACTATGTCAAAATTTTATAAAAGTGGAATTCTTTTGTCTTTCTGTTGCCTGAAGTAATATTACAGTGAGTTTGTTTCTTTCTCCGAAAGGTGAGCTCCATCAACAGCTCGGAGCAGCAGAATGAGGCAGAGCATAGTGATGGCCGCAATCCAGAAGAAACTCTGTTCTCAGGGCAAAAGGTCGATGATGAGGCTCTAGTCTCCAGAGGTTCAGACAGACCAGGTCTGGAAGACAACCTGTTTCTCCCCAGCAAGCACAGCCAAGGCCTGTCCACCTCTTTTTCACAGTCTGCAGAGATCTTTCAAGAACTTCAACAAGAGTGCATGAGGAGGCTCAATGTACCGGCAGCAAGTGCTCCTCGTTCGTGCTCGCCATTGCAGAGCTCAGTCTTGTGTCCCCAGACTCCTCAAAGTCTCCAAACCCATGAGGGACAACAGCAGAGTGTCCTCTCCTGTAACGAGGACCGACCCCAGATCCCCCCACGAGTTCCCATCCCCCCTCGCCCCATAAAGAAGGGTGACTACACCTCTGGCCGCTGGTCAAGGGACCTTTCCCTTTCTCCAGTGCCGACTGAAGCCACGGAAAACGTTTCAGGCGCAGGACAGGAACGACCACCTCAAATCCCTCCCAGAGACCCTTTGTCTCAGCCTGGATCAAGAACTCCAAGCCCAATGGGTCTGGTAGTGGGTTCCCCCCAGCAGAGGCTCTACTCTGTCAGCCCCAACACAATGCAGGCTGCCATTACAACCTGCCCACCCACACACACCTACAGCTCCTACCTCTCTACCTCTCCGGGTAAACTCATGCCTACTACACACAGCTTTGCTTCAGACCCCAAATATGCTGCACCCAAAGTGATCCAGGCCCAGGTGCAGGGGAGGGACGCTGCTAGCAAGGGCCCCTGTATCCTGCCCATCGTCCGTGACGGGCGTAAAGTCAGTAACACCCACTATTACCTTCTGCCAGAGAGGCCACCGTATCTCGATCGATTCGATCGCTTCTTCAGGGAGGCTGAAAGCCTTCCTGCCAACGATGTGGAAGAAAAGCATGTACGGCAAGCCAACACAGCCACAGTCAGACCGATGGTGGTCAGCAGTCACACACTGCAGGGGCACACCCAGGTGCAGGGGCTGGTCCAGCCGGGTGGTGACCTGAAAGCCAATTTCTCCTCCAATAATAACAGCAATCTGGGTTGGCCACGGTCAGGGATGAAGAGTTCAGTTAGTCTTCCTCGCGTCTCTTCAGACGGGCTGACAGCACCAGCAGTCACTGCTTTCTGTACCAGGACAGACGGAGGAGGGAACTCAGCTGATAGGGTCAAGATGGTAAGGTCTAAGATGGATGAAGTGCCTCTAAAAAATGTTATTTGAACTGCAAAGTACTTAAAACACTGAAAGTGTTGGCCATGATGGATATGAAACCCCTGCAGGAAGATGTGCTGCTTGCTATACATACTTGTCCTTCTTAATGCTACTTTTTGTCATTTGGTAAGAAGTATTAAGCAGATAGTCATCTGTTTGTAGTTCAGTATCACTGGTGTTAAGGCAATGAAAGCATCGGTTCCTTATCCTAAATCCCTTATCACACATCAGAGAACTAAAATATGAGCCCATTGTTCGGTGTAATTCATTAGCATCGGTCTAAACAAGCTTTAAATAGTCTGCACTACATATTTCATGAATGGCTTGCTTGATTCCTCTCAATTGTAATGCTGTTTTCTGGAGCTCCATATTCAATGTGTAAATGCTGTCTGTAAGGAAGAGCACGGTGGGTGTACGGCGGTGTGTTTCCTTTCCTGTTGCACTGACAGCAAGAGTGAGGAATTAAAGGTGATACAGCAGCTTTTAATGACACGATTCTGAAAAGATCAACTTTCTATTTCACCTTCAAATCATCGTGACAACCAAATTAAGAAACGGTGTAATTTTACAACTGGAGGCAATCTTTATTAATGTGTTATGCATCAAATTTAACTAATTAAATTGGAAATTGAATGTTTTATATGACTTTTAGTAGAAAAATTGTTAGAATACATGTTTTAGCTTTTTCTTTTGCATTCTCAAAAATTTTCTCATAACTTATTAAAAATACACTGGCATTCATTATGAGACAAAGGCCATATAAATATTTGGTGAGAATCAGATTGAAGAAACTTCAAAGTTTCATTTGTTTCTTTAGGTTGGTCAATTGATTCTAGCATTGTTCGAGTTTGGCTGGAGTCAGAAATGCTGTGAACTCTGAAGGCTCAGGCACTTGACATTTTGTAGTTGATACAGCTGCAAAAAGTAGTGCAGCAAGAATGTGAGATATCTCAGCTGCATTGCAGAGGAGTTCAGTGCAAGACAGAGTATTATAAGAATATAATGTATATAGCGCCTTATGAGTTTACTAGCCGTAATATCTGCGTAAAACTGCAGTGGTTGGTAACATGAAATTGTTAACATGGGTTTCAATCAAGTTCATGCGAAGAGAAGTACTGACAAAAAAAACCAAAACTGGTTATTATGCTGCCACAGTCTCGGTACACACAGAAACACTGTGTCAGACTTATCTTCTTGAAATTTGAGCAAGGTGGTTTTTGAAAAGAGATGCGAACGTTTAAAACTTGATCTGTGCAGCGATGCTTAAATCCAGCTGTAGCAGTAAATCCACTGTCCACCTAAAGGATGTACATGGAGCTTTAATCTTAGATGATTTCATCATCAGAAAAAGATACCAAAAAATTACTGTGACCCCAAAAAAAGAAGAAGTGAGGAATCAGGGGTTTAAACTTCAGTGTTGTTGTGTGTCTCAGGTGCAGGAGGCGGTTCACGGTGTGACGATGGAGGAGTGCCAGGCCGCCCTCCAGAACCACAACTGGAATGTTCAGCAAGCTGTGCATTATCTAAAGGTTTGTGCATTTACTGAAAGCTAATGCATTTCCTGCCATAGTTGGCACACTATGACTGTTGAGTTGTTTCAGAAATTATAGGAAAAATGCTCCTTTAAGCTTCAGTCATTTTTAGTTTTTTGAGATACTTTTACTGACTTTTTATTAATTTTTGTTTATTCCCCTTTTCTAGTGTTGTTGCATATTGAAATGTTATTTTTGAAAGGCGTTATTTCCAATTTGCACATGACTATATGCATGTAAAGTGTAATAACTGCATGTATGGATCATCAGTAATAAGTATGGCTACAAACCCTAAATGGAAAATTCTGTTCGGTGTTTATTTTTAATGGTGTTTATTTAAATCTTTACTTTGTCATAAGATGGAAAAAAGTCCGTATAAAGTTTCAAACGAATTTTAAATAACAAAAGTAAAAAAGCTCAATAGCAAAAGGGAAAAAAAAAAGTTTGTTTTTAAGGTAAGGTTCCATAGTCTTAAAGTACTGCATACACACAACTGGCAGAAACACCTTTATAAAATAAAACTGCACAAATAAAAGGAAAAAACATTTTACGGCTCAGGCCATCAAAACAAAGATTGCGTGAAAATCCGTTACCTCAGCAGTAAACACTTCAGTGCTTACCAGATCTGTTTCATCAAGTCTCAGGTCAGTTGTTTGTGTAATAACAGGGTATATCTGCAAATGAATACAGTCAGTTACACTTTTACCCTATAGGCTCATATCGAGATGTGATAAGAGAACTTTATTCATCCTTGAGGAAAAGTTGCAGCGAGCAGCTACAAATGAAAAAGCATGTAGACACTTTAGGGTGGGTTTTAACACCGTCTTAACTGGCTGTGGTTTTGCCCAACGTGGCAGGATGGACAATTTGTGAGGACTTCAGTAGACTCAAGGGAACACTTGAGTGTTCCTTGATGGTGGTGGGAACGTCTGTGAGACACAGAAAAAACCACGTGGTTCACATTCTGCTAAGCTACAGGAATGTGTTTGAACAAGCTGAGCTTGGACGAAGACAGAAATAATTTTACACTCACTGTTCTTCCCATTGAACTCTCTTTAACAGTCCCATCTTTTTCCCTCTTGATAACTCTTTGGTCACTTGAACAATGTCGTGTGACCTGCCTCTCTACAGGTAGAACAGTTGTTCTGTTTGGGCCTGAGGAGCAGATCAGAGTGTCTAAAGCTGCTGGAGATGTGTGACTGGAACCTGGAGGTGGCCAGCACTCACATGCTGGATAACTATGGATCTACAACAAGGCAAAGGTAGTGTTTCCTACGATTTTGCAATGATTGTGACTTCCCAGAATGCATATATTACTTTGAATGGACCGTACTCTTATATTACTGCCCAGCAATTACTATTCATCTTCCTTGACCCTATCTACACTGGAGGGGGAAAAAAGTTCCCTTCATTCAATTTGACACTGATGCTCATTTAATAGTTTCTAGAGATTGCTACTAGAATTTTAATAGGAACTTCATGCTGACATAATGCTATTTTTCGTATCTCTTTGTAAAACGTATAATTAAAATCTGCTTCCTAGTGGAGCTGCTGAGATTGTTACTGCAGATTTATTTAGTATATATATGGAAAATGTAAGCAGGCAGTATTGTGATGCAATGTTGATGTGCCGTTAATGAGAGGCTCATATGTGGCTTCTAGATTTAGGAGGTGTTGGAAGGGGGGAGGGCGAGGGGGTGTAAGCCCTTAAAAAAAAAAAAAACGACGCACGAGTTGAGCGGCAATAACATGACTTCACAACAGCAGAGGGAGCTATTTTGTAGCAGTCCGTTCACCATTTGAATGTGATTTGATAAAGATAATTGGGTTTTTTTTGTGTTTTGTTTGTTTGTTTGTTTGTTTTTCAAAGTCAAACAAACATAAAGATAATTTATCTGCGGGACATTTGCACGTCCCGCAGGTTTATCAACATGTGTGCTCGGTTTCCCTCAGCAGGGAAGCATTTCATGCCTGATAAAGGAGCTGTGTGCAACAGGCACTGAAGTGCTTTTTGAGATCAATCAGACTGATCTACGGATGCTCGCTGTTCAAACATTGATTTATAATTTTTTTATGCTGATTTAAACACATCTAATAGATAGGACGAGACAAACTGAAATGGTTTATTTACATGATTTCAAATGGTGCTCTATATTTGTCTACATTTGCTTCAAATATGTAGTATTTTGGGGGGGGTTGTGAAAGAAGTGGGAGCCAACGGCAATAGCTCTTTGTGTTGCATTATTTAGATGAATCTCCCGCCTGCTTGTCACTCTTGTCCTTAATGCCAGCACAGTGTTCATCTCACTTAAAAGCCCCAAAAAAGGTGAAATCTTGTCTTAACATTTCATGATTCATCATTTTTCGCCACCTCTAAAGTTCTTTCTGTTTGCAGACGGTGACAGAAATCTCAAGCTGCTGAGCTCTGACTGGAACTTCATCCGCAGTAAAACATCATCAGAGATGAATCATCTCCTGACCTTTTTTGTCTGTTGGTTCAGTCACACTTCCAATCAAGACTGTATTAGAGAACGGAGCACAAAATACCAAACTTCATTATGGCTGTGTTTGTACTTAACATGGATGTGTAGGGTCATATTTTTACTTTGGTGTGCCCACCCAAGGGCAAGAAATGACTGTACTTGTATTTTCAGGACCAGCGGGTTAGCCTGAAATGTCTCACAGATTCTGGGTGCTGCCACACTCAGACGTCGTCTTGTGAGCTACTTGCATAGCAAAAGAAATGGTTTGAAAGGAAATGTAAAGAGGCCAAAATGAGATGGCTAGCGCAATATACATAGGAGCACTTTCAAAAACAAAAAAAGTCTTTGTGTTGTCTCAAAGCAATGCACAGTTTACTGGAGAGCTCACATGATGCACAATATCAGCACTGAACCTAAGAACTGTACCGTGTGCGTACAGTTCTTTAAAGCTAAACCTCCTGTATTAGCAGCTATTAAATCACTTGGAAAATAATTTGTGAAAGCTCACACAGTACCTCTGAAACATCCAAGCACAATAAAATAAGCCATTTAATTGGCTGACAACTCTGTATTGTACAGGAGATTATTCTGCCCATTAAAGGAAAGTGAAAATATGGAGATAAGCATCAAATCAAGACAATTCATGGAAATATAAGACGGCAGAAGAAGTTTGTACACTTGTACACCTACATTCGAGGGTATATACAATATGCTCTTTATGAGGAGGCATGCATGTGTGTATGATATTGTTTAATATATCTTGAACATAGTCCTCAGAGATGAGAGAAGACTGTTATTTCCATTACTTGTGACACCATCTTTTTAAAAAATATTTCATTTTCTTCTGTCTCTATTGCCACATGTGGCAAAAAAAACAAAAAATACCCATCCAGTGGAAACTTTCTTCACTGCAGGTTTAGTCTTTCCTCATTTCTTCCCTCTAAGCACTTTGCCTACACAGAATCCTGCGCATCAACCGAAAAGTCCTGCCAGCGTGCGGTTTTCTCCGTGCACCCAGAATACACCGGCAGCTAATATCAGCGGTGTTGTGAAATTTATCCCAAGGCGCAGATCCCATCCCATAATCATCACTTAAGACCACAACTGTGATATTTTGGTCAGCAGCTTTAGGGGTAATAATTTAATCCTGAGAGGACGCGTCTGCTCTGGGTGAACTGACTGCTCGATGACATGGCACTTTCTTTTTTTTTTTGACTGTATTGTCACTGCAGCAGTTGGGCTCCTCCTGATATTTATTCTTAGTATGTGGGGATGACGCCAGTGAAAGGAAGGAGAATCTACAGTAAGGTAGACTGAATACTTTTGTGTGGCCAACCACACAAAAGTATTGGTTACAAAAGTAACCAATGCTGGAAAGCAGTGCTTTACATTAACTCCCGTGATCTCTGTGGTGCTCCTCTTTAAACTGTCTTTGCCAAAATATCTATTTTTCTTTCTGAATTACATTATATTACATGTAAAACACATAATATGTGTGTTCATGTGTGAGACTGCACATATGCTCTGGCTTTGGTCCAAACCAGAGCTCAATATGTCTACAAATCTCCAAGGATGCGACTGAAAGAAAAAAAAAAAGAATAAAAAAGCTAACATAGAGTCATAACAACCTGAAAAATTAAGAGGCTTTGAAATAAGTTTTGAAATATATTTTTTAAAGGATGTACAGGACTGATTGTAGAAACTTCCAGTAAAAGCTTTCTCCCATGTGCAATAGGGCTGCTGTCAATCCTCTAACCTCCCAGCCTGTCCGTCAGTACCATCCAGTAGCAAAAGCAGAGATTTTATCTGTTATAATCTATCCTGCTAATTGAAAAAGAAAAATCAAAAGAAAAGCTGTGTTTCAGTGTAAAATGTTTGTTGACTGTTTTTCTGACCCAAAGTGAGATAAAGTTGTCCTTAAGCACTGATTCGGGGCCAGTTTTGCCATTTTCCCTTTAAAGTCACGCGGTGAAGCTGACTGTGAACGCAGTGCATAAGGACAGCTGCATGTGAGTGCTGCCTCCTTAGTCTGTTCACGTGTTGTTTGTCTTCATACCGAGCTGCTGTAGTTGTATTAGAAGGACTGAAGTTAACCTTGTGGTGTTTTGGTGAACCCAAAGCAAAGTTCTCCTGTTAGGGTGTTGAAACTCTGATGTTCTGTTTCTGTTAAACATTCAGATCTGTTTTGGTTTTTTTCCTGAATCTGTGTTCATTTAAAATCTTTATTTTTTATTGGTTTTGCTGTTTCTCCTTCAAATGGCCATGTTTTTCCCTCATTTTGATGTATTTGCCTTCCCAGAATGTGTTTCATTGTAAATGCCTACTGTACAGTTGGTTGTTATTGTCATGGATGGAAATGAAGATCATGCTGCGGAATTTATAAATGTATTTTTTACTAAAGAATTAACTATTTTTTAACTTGTTTTGTTCATTGTTTTTACTGAAATCCATATAGTGAGCTCACAGTAGCTAAGGTGAGGTGAGCAGCAGCAAGATTCAATTCAGTTTAGCTTCATTTATATAGCACCAAATCACAACAACGGCCACCTGAAGGCACATTGTAATGTACGGTAGAGACCCTACAATAATACAGAGAAAGCCCCAACAATCAGAGAACCCACTATGAGAAAACATTTGGTGACAGTGGGAAGGAAAAACGACTTTTTAACAAGATGAAACCTCCAGCAGAACCAGGGTCAGAGAGGGGACGGTCATCTACTGTGACCGTCTGGGGGTGGTCACAGCAGATGACAGATGGTACAAACAGCATAATGTGAAATGCAGAGTGGTATATAAACAGAGAGAGTGACAAAAGGTGAATGAAAAAGAAATGCTTAGTGCATTACGGGAGGCCCCCAGAAGCCTTGGCCTATTGCAGGATTCAGGGTCACCTAATCTTGCCCAAACTATAAACTATGTGTTTACTAAAATTGTCACAATGGTGAACTCGTAATAGCTAAAGTGACAGCATTAAAGCATAGAACAACAGAAGGTACAACAGAGGAACATAACTTATTTTATGGGTTCGGTATATTGATCAGAACAATTAGTCTGGTAAATTACAGTCATTCACTCTTCACGGAAGATTACCCAGGATGTACTTGTTGACTAATGACTCATAAATCACAAGTTGGTAGCCAAAGAGCATGTGATATTACAGTTGGACCACCAACTTTGAAGAGAACAGAGCAGGCATTCATGACAACAGATATGACATTAAGTCAGACACAGCTGGAAGAGCTGGATTGGAGAAAGGTTGCAGTGATGCTTCTGCTGTAGGTGGGATGTCTGTGGCTGTACCAAAAGATATTTGCACATTTGATGTTACACCAGGAAAAACAATTTCCCATATGTGTTCCATTTGAGATCTGGAGACTGCAAAGCCATAATAAATTCTTTCATTTTATTTTCATCAAACCATTCAGTTACCTCTTGCGCCCTATTGGTATATATACACTGGCAATTTCATTGGGTGCATCTATTCATCTGCTTGTTAATCTAATTCAAGTGAATCCCACGGCACCTACTCAGTTCATTAAGAAAATCCATGCCAACATGGTCAAGGCATCTATTGACTGGCAGTTGTGTAAGTGCAAATGCCTTGTTGATGTCAGAGGAGAATGGCCAAACTACTTTGAGCTGATAGGAACAGTAACTCATATAACCAACAACTCATATGCCACCAAGGTATGCAGAAGAGCATCTCTGAAGACTAGGGAT